TTCTTACAGTAGGATGCTTTTTCTTCATTTGTCCTTTGCCGTTCTCTATGAGCCTCTTTACGTTGTTATGTTGTATGCGCTACCCTTTCTTTAATAACCAATTACAGTCTCTTGCCCACAGTATGTGGTAACCACTTCCCATATCAAAGGAAAGCCCTGCGGAAACACCTCCCAGTTATATTCTTTTTTGTTGGTTCTTTCCGTATCTGGTGCAGGCGAAGTCCATCTGGCCTTGTTCTTTCCGAAATCAGATATTGCCAACAAACAGTTTGTTCCTCAGTAAATTCTTACTTGTTGCCCTTATCATGCGTATTATCAGCGTATCTTCATTCTTCCGATCTCGTAAAATTTGCACCGAAATCCTCTGTAAAATCACAGTTAGAGTAAGTTCAAACTCAACATAGAATTCCTTCAATTTCACCAGTGTCAGTTGTGTTATGGTGGAGCATAAGCTTGGATAATTCTGAGCGCTCTTGGAATCTGTCCTGAGGACGAGTGGAACTTCTGACAGGGAATGGTTGCGAAGACCTTCACTGTGCTAACACTTCTCTGTTTCTCACGCGTGCAGAATAAAATCGTCTTATTGGCTTTTATGGTTCGATCCTTCATCATGTTTCACACACTCGAGAGCGTCGCATAATGCTGTACGGATTTCTTAGAGAAAATATTTCGTTTGTCCATCCATCCTTATAGTTCGTATGTTCATCCCTCGACAGCCACCTAAAATCTTGTTAACCCACAAGCAGTGTCTTATGACCGCTTGAAATTCTAGCAGCCCTTCGTCCTCGCCGTTCGGCCGTCAATCCATTGGGGCTTATAGAAAGTGGGGGAATCTAAGTCTTGCAATTGTGTGGAAAAGAAGCATGCATTCAAAGGCGATAACGAAGCCAGTTTCAGATATTACGAAAAGAATGGCTCTAAAAATGAGGGCATAAAGGGACTTGAAGAGCACAAAATAGCCACCTGGCGTGAAGAACTGCAGCATGATGGGCATCTGAAGCCATTTGCATTTATTCGACCCACTGACAGGTATTTTTTTTTAGCTCAATTTTATTTGCATTTTCGATTGCGACGGAATCTTCTGATGTGATTCTTTTCCAGCCTGTACAGTGCAGTGCAGATGTTGTGCAAGGAGAAGGTGCATCGCCTGCCAGTCGTGGAAGAGTGCTCCGGCAATATTGCATTTATCCTCACACACAAAAGACTGATCAAATTCCTGTACCTTTACGTTAGTTTTGAGCTCACTTTCTCGCATTTTGTTATTCGTTGCTTATTCGATAACCATATATCTCCCATGACACCTGCTGCAGTATTACTGCAAATTTGCCGTTTTTAATAGTTATTCCATGTAATTCTAAGCTGATTATAGCATTGATGCTGAGAGCTTGGAAAGCGAAGATATGGGAAAAAATAAGTGTGAATGAATATGAAATTAGTGAATTAAGACGTTTCGGTCCATTAAGTCGTATATGTCTTAGCTCAGCACCACGACTGGACCTCGTCAGTGTGACGGTCGTGATGTTCAGGGAGGAGAAAAGAGAAAGAAACGAAGAGAAGACAAGAAAAGGAAGATAAAAAAGGGGAGAGTAAAAGGGAAGTAAAGATGGGAAGGGAAGGGAAGGGAAGTAGAAAAAAGGATGTGAGGTATTGGGATAGAGGTAAGCATGGATAAGATGTAGCACTAGTTGATAGCAGGATCTAAAGTTACGCGGCGAATGATTCGATTATAGCGCTGCTACAGCGTATGAAGACTCGCTTTGCAGATGATGGATCTGCCTCGTCCAGCATTCATGAACAAAACACCACGTGAACTGGGCATTGGCACTTGGGAGAATGTGGCAACAATCACTGAG